AGACATAATAGGTAAATATCAGTATGGGTTTCGTAAAGAAAGATCAACGACCTATCAAATATTCCTACTAAGGCAAGCTCTGAAAAAAACATATAAGTAATGCATTGATACTCACCACCTGTTTGTAGATGTGCCTATGATAGTGTTGAAAAAAACGCACTGTACAAGGCCATGATAGAATTCAGCATCCCAGTACACTTGGTACAATTGGTGAAAGCGACCCTCTCAAGAGTCAAGTGTAAACTTAGAGTGCAGAACGGAGTTTCCAGAACGTTCCAGTCTCAGATAGGACTTGGATAAGGAGACAAACTATCATGACTTCTATTCAATATTGCACTAAAGAGAGCAATATGAGAATCTGGAATAACAACCAGAGGAACTATTATTAATCGCAGCGTACAATTACTAGCGTACGCCGATAACATCGATATTATTACAAGAAGAAAGGCAAACCTGGTCGAATCATTCAAGGCGCTTGAAGCAGCAACAAAAAGAATGGGACTAGAGGTTAACTCTAGTAAGACGAAGTATATGAAAGTATCAAATTAGATACAAGCAGTACAACCTGAAGATCTAACGATGGGAATATATACTTTCGAAGGAGTAGGAGAGTTTATGTTTGATTCAGACCATAACCCTGTAATAACTGACATCAAATTGAAGCTCAAAAAAGTCCAAGAAAGCCCCAAAACACCAAAATTAAATATCTCAATATCCAACAAAACGTTAATAGAAAATGACTTAAACAATGAGCTAAAGAAATCAATAAATGAAAACAACACAAAAATATGGAACACATTTAAAGATCTTACCTTGAAAGTAATAGAAAAATATTCAACAACGTTACACAGGCACAAAAAACAACAATGGATGACTGATGAAATCCTGGAATTAATGGAGCAGAGAAGGAAACTGAAAGGTAACAAGACAGAATATAAGGAAAAACAGAAACTAATTAAACAAAAAATAAAGGTGGCTAAAGAAAAATGGATGGAGGATAAATGCAAGGAATTAGAAAAGTTGAATGAAAAACATGATACGTGTAATATGTTTAAAAAAGTTAGAGAAGTAGCTAGTATTTATCATAAGAAAATTCCACATACTATAACCGATTCGTCGGGAAAAATGATAATAGACGAACATGAAATTCGAACAACCTGGTGTAATTATATTAGTGAACTGTATAATGATGATAGACCCGAAGAACCGTAGACTTTAGTTGAAGGTGAAGGACCAGAAATACTAAAATCAAAAATACTGCATGCTATAAAGTTAGCAAAGAACAAGAAAGCCGTTGGCCCTGATAACATACCGACAGAGATGTTAAAGCTTATAAATGAGGAGAACATTGGAATACTGGTCAAATTTTTCAATGATGTTTATTCGACTGGTGATATCCCTGAAGATTGGTTAAAGTCCGAATTCATAACACTACCAAAAAAACAACGTCCGAAAAACTGTAGCGATTATAGAATGATAAGCCTTATGAGCCACACTTTGAAAATATTTCTACGCATCATCCACAGTAGAATCAGAGATAAATGTGAAGAAGATCAGGATGAAACACAATTTGGCTTCAGAAATGGACTGAGGACTCGGGACGCCCTCTTTGCACTAAATGTATTACTGCAGAAATGTCGAGATTAAAGGAAAAACGTCTTTGCTGTATTTATTGACTACGAAAAGGCCTTTGATCGAGTACAGTACCACAAATTAATTAAAATAATAAAAGATAAAGGAGTTGATAGTCAAGACATACGATTCATAAAAAAGTTATACTGGCGTCAAACAGCGACAGCTTGCATAAACGGAAAATCAACAGAAATATGAAAAATACAAAGAGGTGTCAGACAGGGTTGTATACTTTTCCCACTGTTATTTAATTTATATTCAGATAGAATATTTAAGGAAGCGCTGCATAATTTGGAATGTGGCGTAAAAGTTAATGGAATTCTGATAAATACAATCAGATATGCAGACGATACAGTTGTTTTAAGTGATGACATGAATGGATTACAATGCCTTTTAAATGCCATTGATACAGTGGAAAGAGAGTTTGGCCTAAACATAAACTGTTCAAAAACAAAACACATGGTGTTTAGCCGTTTAGCACATCAAGATTATATGTTGATGGTCATATAATTTAAAGAGTGTCCAATTTTAATTATCTTGGTTGCCATATTACTGAACAACTAGATCCAGATCAAGAAATAAAATGTAGAATCGAGATAGCCCGCACGACATTTTTAAAAATGAGGTCATTCTTCTGTAATGATAACTTGAAACTTCAACTTCGAAAGCGTATGGTTAAATGCTACATTTGGTCAGTCCTCTTATACGGTGTCGAAGCATGGACATTAAAAATATCCACCATTAATCGTCTTGAGGCCTTTGAAATGTAGCTGCACAGACGTATACTAAAAATCCCATGGACGGCTATGCTGACAAATGTGGCAGTCCTTGAGAGAGCCAATGCTGCTCGCGAGCTGCTTGATAACATTAAATGTAGAAAGATGGCCTATTTTGGACACGTAGTAAGGGGAGACCGATATAATATTATTCAACTTATTATGATGGGTAAAATCGAAGGATGAATCGAAGGAATTGGTAGAAAGCAGGCCTCTTGGTTGAAGAATATCAGAAAGTGGACAGGAATAAAGAAAGCTGAGCAACTCTTTAGAATAGCTCGAGACAGAGATCGCCAATGTCAAGGGGACTTGATAGGGCACGTTAAGAAGAAGAAGAAGGAGAGTTTATATACCTAGGCTCACAAATTAATCAGAATAATGAAGTAAGTGCAAAAATTAACAGACGGGCATATCTGGTAAATAGAGCCTATTATGGATTAAAAAAATTTTTACCAACAAGTCTAGTTACAAAAAGAACGAAACTAGTGATTACAGAACTCTTATCAAGCCCATCCTCACCTACGCGTAGGAAACATGGACGGTAACAAAGAGCGATGAAGAACGTTTAAGATGTTTTGATAAATCCTCAGCCATATCTATGCAGGTGTACAGGAGGGCGGATTATGGTGTAGACGCTATAATTTCGAACTTTACCGCCTGTATGACAAACCTAATATTATTAGGTCCATCAAAAAAACCGGCTGCGGTGGTTAGGTCACATAGAGAAAATGAATGAAATGGAGCGCCAAAACATATTTATAACCAAAGAATAGATGGAGTGAGAAGGAGAGGCAGACCCAGAGCACGATTTAAGGATCAGGTGGAGGTAGACTTGAGAATGTTGGGAGTACGAAACTGGAAAGCCAAGGCGAATAATAGGAGAGAATGGAGACTTATCCTTGAGCGGGCCAAGATCTACCAATGATGATGATGTACTCTAATATCGAATTTCTAGTTTCGAGTTAATAAAACTTTTATTTAAAAAATTGATATCGCGCACGTAACTGACATTGAAAATCGCAGATATCGCGGTTCATTCTACACAAAAAGTACTAATAAACATTTTTGTTTAAAATGATCTGAACTACGTTTCTTATTTGAAATATTTTAAAGCCCATTGGTAGCAAGCAGTGGCAAACTTATTTGCAGATTTTTTGGGATCCCGAAATTGATACAGTGAAACTTGGATAATGCGAACCTCAAGGGACCGTTAAAAATTTCGAAATATCCAAAAATTCGAATTACAAATATATCCACAAACAACAAAGATGGCTACAAAAACAGCTGCAAATGATAAAAATCAACAATAGTTGACCATTTTTATCATTTGCAGATGTTTTATTTATCAACAATAGTTGACCATTTTTCTCGCTTGCAGATGTTTTCGTTACTATTTTTGCCCGAATTTTGTCAACCGAAAGAAATGGGCCAACAAAACTAGGCCAGAATACAATTAAAGCATTTGCAAGCTATAACAAATGGTCAATTATTGTTGATTTTTATCATTTGCAGGTTTTCTCATTTTTATTTTTGGCCAAATCTTAGCCGAAACAATCGGCAGATAAAAAATTCCCAGTGAGAACGCATCAATAAAACATTTTGTCTCAAAAAATTTATTGAAAATAAGAATACATATTTGTTACAATTAATGAAAATAGACTAATTTTTTTCTAAAGAAATCCAAAATTTTTAGCTGCTTTTTAGAATTTAACGTCTCAGTAATGGCAAACGATTCTAAGATGTTCAGTGAAAATAGAGTGACTTACATCATTTTTACTTCCAAAGTACCGTTTAAGTTGCGTAATATGGTGTGTTGCTTCGGCCGCACTCGGAACATGTATTTCACCCGCAACTGATGATGCGTCGTGTTCATCACTCTCTTGTTTTTATCATTGTACTTAAGCACTTCAGCGATGATCTCTGTATCGGTTATTTCATCACATACTGCAACATCTTCATACACGTTGACAAAATCTTCATAAGAGATGGCAGGATCAGAAATGATGTCCTCCCAGCAGTCAACTGAAAGCAGCTCTTCTGTTAAATTGTCGCCTGTGTTCTCCTCCTTTTTTATGAAACCAGCTCTTTTGAAACAGTGTTTGATCGTTTCGGGTGTTACTTGGTCCCAAGCTTTCTTACACATTCGAGATGCTTGTAGAATGTCTAACTTTATTTTAAGGGTGTCGCAATCTTCCATCAATATGATTTCAACCAAAAAACGTCTGTAAAAATTTTTAAATTTTAAAAGGTAAAATTTTTTATGACACCCTGGTCCATAGGCTGGAGAACTGAAGTCATGTTAGCAGGAAAAAAATAACTTTTACATTTTCCATCAGTAGGATAGTGGTGTGTGCCGTACAATTGTCAATAAACAAAATAACTTTTCTTTTTTCTTTTATGAACTTTTTGTCTAATTTTTTCAGCCAGTTCTCGAAAAGATCACTAGTCATCCAAGCTCTTGCGCTACTCACATATTCCACTGGTTTTGACTTGACGTTCTTAAAACAACGCGGATTAGCAGACTTGCCAATCATCAGTAGAGGTAGTCTTTCTGATCCGTCCATGTTTGCACCAATTAGGAGAGTTAGAACTCTAGAGTTCTACTCTTTCTTTACTTAGTTTTTCTCCGTGACATTTTTCATTTTTAAATGCTAGCGTTTTGTCAGGAGTGCATTTAAAAAAGAGACCCGTCTCGTCAACATTAAAGATATCTCTTTCATCTATACTGTTGGCTTCTTGCTGATTAACGGTCCCACTTTCTCCACAAATAGATTTGAAAGAAGTTTTGTTGCGTTCTTTAAAGCCGTCGAGCCACCCTGTACTCGCCTTAAAATTGTTTTTCCCCATTTCAATAGCAAATTGTTCAGCTTCGCTTCTTATAAGGGGACCACTTACGGTAATCTTCTTATCCCTAGCTTGTTTGAACCATTTTAACACACAACTGTCTAAATTTGGATTTTCTGGCTCCCTTAACCTTTTTCGATCTTTACCGTACTCACTTTCACTGTTGAGAATTTTTTCTTCATTCTTTAAGTAGGAGGATAATGTGTTAGGAGGAATTCCAAAGTCCCTAGAAATCTCAGTTTTTTCTTCGTCCCATTTTCTACTTCTCTAATCGCTGCTATATTTTTCCGATAAAGTTAAAGTTTTGTATGTTTTCGTATTACCATGCGACGACATCTTTACTCAATACGACGTGACTTGACATGATTTGCGGTGATTGCAATTGCAACTCATCTCAACTGAAGGGGCGTGCCATGTAACCTCGGGGTAATTAATAAGGGTCTAAGCACCTTCTGTACCACCGTGTGCTTTGTAGAGGGCTTCGAGAACATCTACGAAAGCACCTCTACCCAAGTCCACTTTCAGGTCAGGACTTGTGAAAGTTGTCTTCTGATGGACCCGTCTTGAAAAAGACGAGTTATTTCTTACTTGACGAAAATATTCGACGAAATAAACCATCAGGTTGTAGTCTTCGGTGGCTTGCCTTCAGAAAGGCAAGATATTTCTTACACGACTAAATAGTCGAAATAAAACACCAAGTTTCAAGTTGAATAAAATCTCAGCCACAGAGTATAGGGTAGGCTAAAAGAAAGCAGAGCCCCAAGAGCACTAAGCTCTCGGAGAGCCCGTGAAGGACTGACTTGATTGACCTGACCTGAAAATCGCCTATTTTTATACTTTCTGAAGTAGCGATTAGGGATTTCCAGGTCAGGGAGGGGCCAACGGGAAAAATAAGGGGCGGGGCGATGCGTCTCGAACGTGAACTAGTCGCGTCCGAGAACAGCCAGATGGGTTAGAATTTAGGTGACAGGTACGGGTACAATGTACAATGGCCTTGAATGCCTTGAAACAAGTGGCACGTTAGAACAGAAAAGAATACTACCTCTTTTAGCGGAAATTTCCAGCATGAAATTGGCATTTTTAACTTGTAGAAAAGTTTGAATTATCCAAAATATAATTCGAATTATCCACGACTTTTTAACATTACTTATGTAGGAAATGCTAGGGACCAGAATAAAAATTCGAATTAAAGAAGATTTCGAATTAACGAAGTTCGAATTAAGCAGGTTCTACTGTATTTGCAGCAAAATGCAGGTTGTTCGTATGATTTTTAGAGGTTCAGTGGCATTTTCGCCTCCGACGACTGTAGTAGTTCATGCTCAATCTGCTATCAGCTTTTCTGACCTTTTGACATTTTGACTGATTAATCCTCGAACGAACAGCCAGAGAGACAAACCATACAAAATCAAAGGAGCGATTTTTTAAGATCTTTATTCCTATTCAATTTATATTACCAAACGTAAAAAGTGATATTAAATATTTTGAATTATTAATTCAATTTTATTTCGCATTATTACTAATATTAATACTAATACTCACCTTGAGCTAACTTTTTCAAAAACGTTTTGCTGAATGGTCGACATATCTGAGTTATCACAAAATATTCTAGCTAATGTGATTTTTTTGATTTCAGACAACTGCAAATGAGTAAAAGGTTTCGGTTGATGCGAATTCAGATAAAAGTAGCGATCTCCTCGCTTGGTTCTTACAAACTGATCGGCAAATATACAAGAAAATGTTTGTCCTACGAGAGATCCTTGCAACGGTTTTTCTAAAACTCCACCGATAAGAAGATCAACGTCATCTACGTGTTTATATTGTTTTGAAAGAATGTTCACACTCTGGAAATAAAAAGTAAATGATTATTCTAAAGTATTTAAAATATTCTTTTAATTTACAATGTATTAATATATCCTTAGAAAGTGTTTTTTCCATGATTTGTTAACCAGCTGACTCATAATATGCCACAAAATACTATAACATTATTTGGGGTGACGTACACATTGTAACAGAATCTACTAATTGTACGAGGTGCAAATCAAATTATGTTGTTTACTAATAAGAAAATTCAAATAATATGGGTTCACATTTTAATAGTTCCGGCAACTGGAAAATGCAAGAAAGGGACAGAACAGAACGGCGTGGAAAACTTGAGAAGGTCGAGGCCCTGTAAGGGCTGTAGCACCAAGATGATGATGATGATGATTCTAATAGCTCCCCTTATATTTTAATATGTAATATGCGTTCCTTTACATTGAACCAGCTGTAACAACACATGCATTAACGATGCGTGTTAGCAAATTAAAATTTGGTCAGCACAAATTATCCGAATCTTTAATTCCTTACTCTCTATCAGTGGCGTTTCATGAAGGCATGTTAAAAGTATTGTCTACATTAAAATGAATTTGTTTAGGAATTTTATGTAAAAAAGATTGAAAATTTCTAAGGCGTTTTTCCCATAGCCAGTTCTGCTTGACAGATTTTCGATCAAGCATCGCTGAAACGCGTTGAACAAAGCGACGGTTATAAGATGTATTATCCAAATCCAACACTATGATAGAGTTACAGAGTTAAGGCCCGTTTTCACGCTACGTCTTATTGTACGTTTTGTAGGCCATACAAAACGTACGACAAAACGTACGTTTTGTCCAGTTTATACACACTACGTTTTTCCTTCCGTTTTCTACCTCATTTCTCCTAACTTGACAAATTCCCAGAACCAAGCGGTCGGGATCACAATGGATTTGGATTCATTTATTATTGTATTATTAGCTTTTATGACATCATGCACTTTGTAAAGTACCGCTTAGGTATCATTTAAGAATAAATTTTTGAATGTTTCCACACGTTTTCATGAATTCACAAAAATGCTCAATGCAAATTACAGGTATCGCAAGAAAAATTGTTTTGTTTCTTATTATTTCTTCTCAAATTTAAGAAAAAGTAAAGATTTCTATCAGAATATAAAATTCGGTAGAATTTAAGTCTTTTTCGGTACATCGCTAGAAAAATGGCGAAATCGGTACATCTACCGATTTTTCGGTAAGTTTTTGAACACTGAGACTGAAGTCAAGATCGGACGACTTGTCTGAACAAGTATTTACACGTAACGTTTTATCCTATCAGTTCTCGCAAAAGTATGCTTCTCCCATCATTTCTACGATCTGACCTTGGATTTCATTTCGATTCGACAAGACGTACGTTTTGCTGTTTACACGCCACGTTTTATTGTATAGGATTTGTCCTATCCAACAAAACGTACAATAAGACGTAGCGTGAAAACGGGCATTTACACTAGTATCGGCTGATAACAGCTGTTAAGCGGGTTTTGTTTGTCAAAACTAACTTTTAGTTAAAAAAAATCTGAGGGTGGTGTTTATGCCCTCAGTATATCAAATTCTAATTATTATTTTGTTTGTTTTTAAATGATTTGTTTGTGCATTGTGCGTTTGTGTATGGTATAATCATATATATGTTTCTGTATTATATAATGTATTACGAATATTAATTGTATATGCTATAACGCCTACTTTATATTAATCCGCTATTGTTGGTATATTCTTGTTCTTTCAGAATTGCAAACCAAAACCTGCTACACTCTACTGATGGGTTTGCTACAGATTTTTCTTCATTAAGTAGGATGAAAGTTGCTTCTTTAATTTTTCTCTTTTTCATGTCTCTTTTTTTTTTCATGTTTATTGATGCATATTTCCATTGTATCTACTCTGTGCTCATTATCCCAGATATGTATGCATATCTGTGATTTGTCGAAGTCTCTATTTTTGATAAATGTTTCATGCTTGTTTTTCCTGACACTTAGTGATCGTCAGGTTTCTCCCACATAGAAATTGTTGCATTCACAGGGTATTTTATAGATACAGTTCTTTGATCTCTCCTGTTTGTTGTTAGGTTTGATTTTGGACAGGATAGATCTTAGTGTATTGGTAATTTTAAATGTTATGAGGTTGTACTTATTTCCCATCATTTTAATTAATTTTTCTGATAAGCCCTTTACATATAGTATTGTTATCATCTCTTCTTGTAAGTGTGTCTGGATTACTTGTGATGTTCTCTTGTTTCCTTTTTTTAATCTTTTGAAATTCCTTGTTTCTAAATGACGATGGGTAATCATTCTTTGTTAGCAGTGTTTCTTTATATAGTGCATTTTCATTTTCATTAGAGCAGGTGTTTTGGGCTGTATCATACAATGATGTGATAATTCTATTTTTGATTTTTACGTTATGTTTTGAGTCATATTTTAAATATCTGTCGATATGGGTTGGTTTTCTGTAAACTTTAATTGTATGTCCTGTATCCTCTTTTGTGATTAACACGTCCAGAAAATGTTTTGTTCAAAAGAAAAAGACAATGTTTTGTTCGAAATCCTCCACGAATATATCTGCTATAATGGAGATAATCGTTGTACATAAACAAGACAAACAACTCACAGTATGATGGAGGTATGTAGATGATGTGTTCTCCATTTCGCATCACAGATCAGAAGCATTGAATAAATTTCTGATGGGCATCAAGGACATCACTTTGGAAAAGAAAAACAAGCATTCACTTTCTTTTCTGGGCGTGTTAATCATAAAAGGGGATACAGGATATGCAACCAAAGTTTGCAGTATTAGATATTATAATATTAACCTTAGAATACTAACCATCGCAATTTTTACGACAGCAATGTCGTTTTTGTAGGATATTGTGGAAAGGGTACACCAGTATCTCTCGGCCGCTCATCTATTCTTACATTAGCGTCTATCAAAACGTTTTGTTAGTGAAGCGCCTACAAATGAGCACAGCTTCGTCAATATTACGAAGGTAAGTATTAACGTTATAATTGAAGAAACAACGATATTATCAGTTTTGTTTTTTTTTTTTAGTGTTAAATATGAATACCAAAAATAGAGACATTCACAGATCTTTCACGCAGCGGGAGTTAGAAGCCGAGTTGAAATTGTGCCTGAAAGAACTTTGGCCAGATGAAGTGGATAACAATTTTGATAAATCAGAAAGTGGATCTGAAACAGAAGATGCTGTTTTAGAAGCCTTCAGTCCATCTGAATCAGAGTTCGAACCATCAAGCGAAAATGACTCAGATTTCGACCATGACTTGCCATTGAGAAAATAAAAAGAAGTTCTAAAAAGAATAATGAGTTGTAAAACTAGTTTACTTCAGTGTTTTCAAAAATATAAAGTAATAGCTCTAAAATCGACAAGCAAAAGAAATGCCCTGCTCAGCAATCTCTATCAAATGAAGAAAAATCTCCAGAAATCGCAGCTAAAGAAAAGGAAACTCGGTTTCCATCGAGTCTAAAAAGTAAAAATAGACACAGGTGGTCCTCTCAACCAAAGGCCGCTACTAAAACTCCAAAACGTAACTTCGTGCATCTTGTTCAAGGCCCCTCTGATAAAACCAAGGAAGCACAAACTCCCTCAGATGCTCATTATTTTATGAGTACAGAGTCTCTGACAAAAATTGTAGGATATACAAATGCTGACATTTCTGTTAGGGCACAAAAATATAAAGTCGAAAAACTTGCGTGCACGCAAACGAGTTGCATTCACCCCTAGGACTACTTTTGCTGCTGCCCAAAAAGACAATTTAGCGACAAGACAAATGTTTGATGACAAAATTTCTGATGTGATATATAAAGCAACTAAGGGCTGGAAAAGATTTAAATTTCTTATAGAATGTTTACGTTTTGATGATAAAGTGTCTAGACCAGACAAAAAAGAAACATACCTATTAGCAGCCATTCGTGAAATATGGAATGATATTATACAGAACTACGAAACGTTCTATAAGCCCGATGAGCAACTATTGGTTTTAGGGAAAGATGTCCTTTCCGGATATATATTCCAAACAAGCCAGCCAAATATGAACTGAAAATAGTAATGCTGTATGACGTGTGTACCAAATATATGTTTGATGCAGAATTGTATTTAGGAAAGGAAACTAGAACCAAAGGACTGCTTCTAGGAGAATATTATGTAAAACTATTAACTAATTAACTCTAACTATTAGTTTACGTCAGTACCGCTAATATAAGAGCTCTTAAACCTCCTTACAATTTATTTATAGTTGGTACTCTACGGACAAATAAAATAGAAATACCGTCCAAAATGATAAATATCAAAAATCGTGAAATTGGTTATTCCTTATTTTGCTTCGATGGTTAAAAAACAATGGTATCCTATAAGACAAAAGTAAATAAGTCTGTACTTCTTCTGTCGATAATACACCATAGTCCAGTGGAATGGAAAGCCAACTGGAAAGCCAGATATCATTAAAGTTTATAATGCAACCAAGTACGGAGTAGACACATCAAATGTGCGGAACATGAACATCTCCAGAAAAACAAGAAGATGAAACAACGACAGCAGAAAAAAATCACTAGAAAAAATTTGTGGTTATTTTGTCTGAACAACTGACGAAACCTTGGCTACAGCATCGTGTAAATTGGCCAACTTTGAATCGCTCGGTAAAATTACGTATTGAAAATATTTTAAATCTGGAGCAGCAGCAAGGACGAATATGCCCTGTTGTGTCAAAACATGCCATGTGTCGATATTGTCCGTCTAAAAAACATCAAATGACAACCCATCATTGCGAGCACTCCGACGTCCATTTTGTGGTGAACATCGCGCCCTTTGTTGTAAGCAGTGTAGTTATAAAATGTAGAATTTATGATTTTTCTGTGATTTTTAGCTTTTAGAAACATCTCTTTGGTCAAAATAATCTGTAAAATTAAGAAAAATAAAATACTTTTTCAGTGACCACATTTTTTTTCTCAGTGTAGTAAATTTTTCGATGGTTAGTGTAAATAAAGGTTAAAATAAGGTATTTTTTTTGTGCAACCCTGTATATAAAATATGCAATAAATTGTGATTAGTGCACTTTGTAAGTGATTATATATGTAGGATTTTGATAACGCAAAAAACTATAAAGTGGAGAATGGGCCATAATCAATACACGGATTAATAGAAAAGTAGTGAAATTTGCAAAGACAAAATGGGTGTAATGAAGTCAAAATAATTGGTGAAATTAGAATAAAAATATTGAGTACGATTACTTAGTGAGAACACGTTGAAATTCGACGAATACTGAAACCAAGAACACCATGAACGTATAAACATAGATGGGCACAGCAATAAGATACCTTTAACACACAATGTTTTGAAGCTTTGATAGAATGTGATGCTTCCTCAATGAGCATAAGTGTGCTTGAATTTTTACTCGTCTTTATAGAAAAATTAAAATACAATTTTATTTGCTTTAAAATTAATGCAATTAACTATAGTTGAATTCAAGTTCATTTTTTAATAGGTATCAAAATAATGCTGCAATAAAAAATTTCTATGTTTTTTCCCTAAATTTGCTACCCAAATAGTTCGATCGTCAATATTATTTGGAAACCTACATAGAAAAATAAATGAGTTTTATTCATTTCACTAATTTATTTGTATCCATGAGAAATATTAAATTAAAAAGGTACTAAACAGATCTTTTTTAATCCGATGATGTCTACTTACAATTTAAAAATGTCTACTAATTTCATGAACTCATATTTTATTCAATACATTAATGAACATGAATAAACCCAATGGTGCGCCTATTAAAATGTAAACAAACATGCTTTCTCATTTTATCATCTTAAATAATGTAAATTGTTTGTACTTGTATGTATGTACAAATGAAATGAGAGATCGGGATGTAAATATTTCGTTTATTTTATTTCACTTTTCACAAATATCACTCCAAATACAGCCAAAATATCGAAAAATAACTTTTCCTCATCTACTGTAAAAAGTAAACAAACATGGAACAGCATTTGAAGTTTGACGTAGATCCATAAGACAGAGAAATTTAAACAACCGTTGCCATTTATAAATAGTTTTCAGTGCTTCTACATATAAAATAATTGATTAATATCATTTATTCGCTATTATTAAATGAGAATGCACACTATGTGCATACTTGATATTTTGATTACAATTAAATATATTAATCTAACCAATAAATTATTATTTTGGTTTGATAGCATCTGTAGAGTATAAAATACGCGGTAATGTTTTCAGCGACTCGCGAATAAGAAATTTTAAAACAAAACGTGACAACAGTTGAAGGTGTTGAGAATGTGACCTATTCAAATAATTTTGACTACACAGTTTTATGTAAATAACTGAGTCCATCTGTGTTTATACGTCCATGAAGAACACACATGCTAAAAGAAGAACATCGAAAAAATTTAAAAGAAGTACCTAGTCGGTAGACATGTTATAAATATGCAGATGCACGACAAGAAAACATTTCAAATATAAAAACAAAGCGGGTCAAGTTCTATATATAGAAATGCCAATATGTCACGAACACTCTATAAACATTCCAAATTCCAGTGCTGTCTTCTTTTTTCTATAACATTAATATCGTATACATGTATTAAAATTTTACGATGTACCATTAGCACTTGAAAAAAGGGGTTTTATAAAACTATTAAAATATACTTACATTATTGGTCATGACGTCTGTAAAATCTTTAAAATTAGATGCCTTTTGTAATCCACAGAGTTTGCGATAATCATTATATCCAGGAAGACCGTGATCTCTACCTCTTTGAATGTCCAAACTGACAATGTCGTATCCATAATTATCGTCAGCTAGGAACATATTGCTTAACTAAAAACGTAAAAATAAAATAGATCAAAGTTTATTATTTTTTATTTTTAAGTACCTACCTCATTGGAATAAAAGTTACTGATTTTCTGTGCCACCTGATTGGAAAGTCCTCTCAGAATTAGATTGAAGTTTTCATCTTTTGTTACAACCTCAGGTTTATTGTAGGATTTATGAAGAATCAATGCTGAAATTTCTTTTTGGTTATGATCGACGAAGCTAAAATATAGGGTATTTAATTATTAAGTGTTTTCTAGCTTTAAATTTAAAGAAAACAAAGTATATGTGAGATATCATCGAAATAACATTTTATTCGTTTGAAAAACTTCCCTGTTAATATGTATAGCATATTGACAGAGAAGAAAAATATCGTTTAAATGTCGGCAGCGTGCAACGGCTTTGTTGGGTGGCATGCATCCGAAATGTCAAATTTTCCATGTCGAAACATGTCGTTGGTATCTATATTATCCAATAAAGGTCAAAAGAAGTTGGTAATCATAGATCTATAACGCTCGTCGTTGATGGTGATGGCCCCGCCAACGTCGTTCTCAAATAAATATGGTCTGATGACTCTGATGACACCTCCAGCTTAAAATAAACACCAAACAGTGATTTATTGGATGTTAGTTGGATTGGTATTGTCCAAAATTCGACAATTCTGTTTGTTGCCAGGGTCAGTTTCCAACTGCTCCAGAGTCCATTCAGCGAATACACGTTGTTGTCTATAACCGTTTACACACAAAATTTCACAAGTTGTGAGCGACGTAAACTCGACTGACTCGAATTCTCCTGCACACTCTCACGGATAGCGGCGATGTTTTCGGCACCTCTTGCATTTTGACAATGTTTAGGTGTTGATTGATTGTTAACTGAACCAGTAGGGTCAAATTTATCTACTACACTGCAAATAATCATCTTGCTAGGACGATTATGGCGACCGTAAAATAAGCGAAGCACACGGAACTTTGTCTTAACAGAACACAAATTTTCATAAAACAGTTTTATTATTTGTACGTGTTGTTATAAGCTATAACCATCCATAGTAATTTGGACAAATAGACTGAACGAATCCACAATTTAAGCCACAAACATTCAATAACTTTAAATAACTATGTACTTTATGATAGATGTTAGTTTGTTAGCGCCCCCGTAACAGATTTCCATGTCTTGTAATATATTCACTTGTTTACAGCCCATGTCTGTATCTTCTATTATGTAACTATGTTGCTACCTCGGCAATATGAAAAAGCTCCTCATAAGCAAGGATTTGTCTCTTCCCCTACAACTACGTCTAGTTAAATGCTACATTTTCCCGATCTTACGAGAAAACTAAAAGCATTCGAAATGTGGGTGTACCGACGCATTCTTCGTTTATCCTGGACCGAACATGTCACCCACAGAGGTACCTCTGTGGAGAGTTTTGGTTTGAGAGAGTGGTTTGGAGTACCATAGAGGTACTCCAAAGAATCGGAAAGGAGAACGAAATCGTGAATACAATTAAACAAAGAAAGCTTGAGAACAAAGAAATATCTAGGCCACATATTGAGACACGATAAGTACCGTTTGCTGCAATTGATTGTCCAGGGAGAAATAGACAGTAAGCGTGCGCCAGACAGGAGAAAACACTCGTGGCTCCAAACTCTGCGGAAGTGGTTCGGGCTCACATCGGTCGAACTATTCAGAAGCGCTGCAAACAAGATCAGAATTGTTAGGTTAATAGCCAACGTTCGCAACGGACAGGGCACTTGAAGAAGAAGAAGAAGTAGCTACGTTCTCTCTGGTAGTATAAGATATAATATAGTTAGTAACTCTCTATTTACCATTTTTGTATTTAACCAAGATGTAATTAATTTAATTACGTATTATTCTGTTGAATGTACGTAATGGAGAGTATAAAGTTTTTGGATGGTAATTTAAATCTGGTATTGGTTATATTCGTTATATAAACAAAAAAAACAACAAAGCACCAGGAGAAGATGGAGTGGTAAAGATGGGTGGTGTACCCTTCTCAACCAAATAAAAATTTTGTTTAACCTTAGTCTAACCGATTGTTGCATATCGGAAACATGGAACAATGCAGTAACAATTTTACTACACAAGAAAGGAGACAAGGCGCACCTAGAAAACTATAGACCAATAATTACGACAAGACTAGAAAAAAAAATTGCATTTCTACCAGCCCCGAGAACAAGCTGGCTTCCGCTCAAAATTCGGAACAAACGATCACCTACAAACAATAAAATTCTTAATATAAAAATCGATTTATCTTCGTAGACTTTCACAAAGCCTTCGATACCGTGGAATTAGACAGCATTATAACTGCTCTGAACAGTAGTAGAATAGATTACCGTCTTACAAACTTCGTACAAACATTGTACCAAAATGCCACTATGCGTGTAAAACTACATGATACCACCAAAGAAATTCATATAAAGCGAGGTGTGAGATAGGACGACACTCTCTTACCTAAATTATTTATAACGGTCAACAAATTTGCCTTTAAAATGCTAAAGTGGGAAAATGGAGAAATAAAAATAGACAAGGAAATGCTCAATCATCTGCGTTTTGCCGACGATATACTACTTATTACCGAAGATCTGCGTCTGCGAAGATGCACAGAACCGTGAAGAGTGGCGAAAAATGGGAGAGACTTATGTCTAGCAGTGGACAGAAGAGGTTGCATGATGATGATGATGATTCGTTATATTTTATTTAAGCATAAATATATTCGCCTCTTATAATATTTACCTGATGTTTTCTGAAAGCATGGAGTACATAGATCGTATAGCTGCAGTAGCAAATGCATTAGACACAGATGGATCAATATCATCCCGATATTTTGAGAATTTTTCTATGATAGTTAAATATTTGGTATCTAAAAAAATAAATAAACACAATGATAAATGACAAATGATTTTAAATTATTTTAAATACTTAAAGTTAAATGTTGGAGTCAGAATGATCATATATAAATATTGATCCATATTTTGCTAGAATCAAGATGTGAACGAGTCACATAAACAATATTAACAAAAAATAATATACCATACAAATTAATAATTTTGTACTCTAACTAAATTATAAATTGCTTTTCATCGTCGAAAATGCTCATAGAAATCTCATCGAAAATGCTTCTCATCGACGATGTCTGTTTTCAATTAGTGTTTCCTTCTGGGGTTCCCCGTATAATCAAATCATTTTGCGTATGTATGGTGTGTTTTGGGTGGTGGATGAAGGCACCGGTATTTAGACTTTTCTATCACTGGTGTCGGTTGATTCTGGGGTTTTGCAGAGGAGGGATCATGAAGAGCAGAGATAATGAATAGGGAATGGAAGATGTGAATGATTATTTTAAGATGTGTGCTTTTTTCACTGAATTTACTAATTTAATTTTTTACAGATATATTTGTGCAATGAGATCGGGAAACCACAGAGAACCGGTTCTTTCTTGTCCATGTATAAAGCTCGAAGGAAGCTATTTATCTTAAGGCAAATTTATCTTCTTCTTCATCTTCGTTCTTTGATGTAGGCTTTAAAGCCGGTTTCTTCTTTAATATTAGCCTCCTAAATTGTTTAAATTATCGCACCATCTTTTTTCTTTCGTTGTATTCGTTCCACTCCTATTTCCATTTTGTCACCCATCCATTTATGTCTTCTATATTGCATGCTCTTCTTATGTTGTCGCTTCTCTCCATATCCAACAGATTTTTCCCTGATATTCGTCGGAGTATTTTTATACCTGTTGTTTCTAGTAGTCGTCTCGTTTTAGATGTGTCAGATATTGTTTTCGCCGTGTATGTTAATATAGCAGTAATATAGCAGTAGCTATAGATATAATAGTAGAATTTTTCTCTGGGGGGGGGGGGGGGTTTTGATTGGGACCAAAATTTTTTTTATGATGCTACCTTAATTTTGAGTCGTTAAAATTTGTAAACACCAGTATCGGAATAGGGCTCTAGGGGGGGGTTAACCCCCAAAATTACCCCTGGGTGCGCCACTGTAATATAGGTCTAATTGCTGCTTTATAGATTCTTGTTTTTGTGTCTTGTCTTACGTGTTTGTTCTTCCAGATTGTGTCATTAAGAGATCCCGCCGCTTTACTTCCTTTTAAGCTTTGTTATCGTACTTATTCTCCAACATCTTCGTAACTAGTTATATCTATTCCTAGATATCTAAACCTTGTTTCCTGCTTTATTATTTTCGCATCAATTTTGATTTTACAATGTAGTGGATATTTAGATGTTGTCATACATTTGGTTATCTCTGATGATATTATCATATTGTATTTCTGGTCTGATGTATTGAAGATGTGTGTTAATCTTTATAGCTCGTCTTCTGTGTCGGTGATTAATGCGGCGTATTGAAGATCATTGGGTAAGGTTCATTGAGTCCCCAATAACCTTTGCGTACTGCTTGTATTATTTAAAGTACAAATTTATCTAAACAGTAAAAAAGTGGAGTTTTGTTCAGAGAAGCCATGTATTCCTGCTCAGAGAGAAAAGTCTCTCAAGTATGGTTGGTGATTGTTGATGTATTTGGGCAGAGATTAAGTCTCTGTTGTTGTAATTTGCCTTGCGAAGAATACTCCTTTCCAAAGCTAGCAGCTTACTTTTGAGGTTTTTGACTGAGTAGAGCGTAGATATTTGCTCTGTACTCAATCCACTCGAAGACTTTAATTAGAACGTTAAGAGTAGATGTCGGCCTCTGAGAGTCAAGGTTGGTCTGCTTTTGGCTATGTTTAGGAGTACGATCGCAATGGTAATGGTTTGGAAAGTAGCAGAATTTGAGGAAGGCGTTGATGATTTTTGCCAGGTTAAAGCTGATGGTCATCGGAAATTATATCACACAGTTCTTATGGATATTATTAGAACCTGATGTGTTAGAGTTGTTAATTTGGCAGATATTTTCTGAGGTTTGGTGATTTAAAAGAGCCATAAGTGGAATATCATGAAAGTTTTGTGAATCACAAATGACAAACATAGAACGCAATAATAACAATCATCATCATCGTGGCAGACCTACGATGATGATGATTGGAAACTTATACGATACTTGTTCGATTTATCAGTTCTTGCATGTATACCTCTGTCAATATCAAGTTGAGCGTCTATGTTACCTAAATGAAGAGCATTGATTGTTAAAAAGTGTTTGTATAGAATTCAGTCTGAGTTTTTATAATGTTTTATTATTTTGGAAGTGTTGTTAGATGTTTGGTGTAGGGAGAGCATGGTTTGTATTATGACTTGTATTACTAGGATACGCTGGTTGTACATATGGTGTGATCGATATATGATATACAAGGTAATTAAGGTAAGTCGATTCACGGTACCGAATTCTATGTGATTCAGTTTGAATTGGTCAGTACTGGAATTGGCTATCTATTCGATGGGCATTGTAGAAAGAGTCAAAACAATCACATCGTAACTATGGCAGAAATTACTACTATATCAGGTCTAACAAATGTTTACAATAATTCCACCGTAAATGCACTTTATTTTCTATTAGTTCACGAAGGAAATAAAACACATGTCCCTGATATAAAAACAAACAAAGGAATGTAAGTTTGTTGTAAAAAATGTTTTATTTTTTGAAAAACCTTGTACTACGATTTTAACGCATAACATATAATAACTATTTATATAATATCTATTATTTTGGTAGTGACATTGATATTATATGCTTTGAAATCTTCTTTTTACTTCAATATACACACATAAAAAACATCTAGGGGACACCTATATTAATAATAATTATTATTAATAATATTAAAATAAATTTATATTTTTATTTTTTTTTTGTTGTTGTTTTGTTGATTATTGTACCAACTCGGGACGGTAATGCTGATAAGAATGGCTATAAAAGTTTAACAAAATTTCAATATGCATCTTTTATCTATAAGATAAAACGTAATTTTTTTTATTGGTACTTAATTTTCAATGTCTATGGGGATATGGTCTTTCATCTATAAGATAAAACATAATTTTTCTTTGCTGGTACTAAATTTTCAATGTATGTGGATTTTTATTTAGTTTTGCAATTGCCAATAATCGAGAGACATAATTTAAATCGTGAAACGCAGTGGCGTGCTATCGGGATGCTTCAAGCTGGCAGAAGTTAAAGAAACGTTGCTGAGGACCTCCACATGAACAGAAGTGTCATTAATCGTTTGTGGTTAAGGTGTCAAGAAACTGGTGATGTTGCTGAACGTTTTACAGGCCTTACAAGTATAACCAACCAGTTTGAATAAAGTTTTATTAGGTTGCAGGTTTTGCGACATCGCACTGTAACTGCATCACAATTATAAATGAGGGTTAAAGAGACCCATAGGTATTTGTAAGTGACCAAAACAGTAGACATAGGCTGCATAAAGCATGGTTAAATGCTCGAAGACCTGTAAGAGTGCCTGTGTTATCCAGAAGAAATCGCTCTCAACGAATTTAATGGGCATAAGAACACGCAAATTGGGTTAGACGTGGGCCTCTACTTTGTTCACAGATGAGAACCGATTTGGATTTGCACCATATACAAGATGGACAACGATTGGCCGTCGTGCAGAAGGTTCATAGACAGCAAGGAGGCAGTATAATGGTAGGGGGCGTCAATTTTGATGAAAGAACTAATTTCGTTTGTCTCAAATGATTTCTAAATTGCAACAAACTACTGCGATATTATTCTCAAACTTATTGTTGTACCCTTTGCGCAACATGCTGGTCCCCAATTTCAATTAATGCACGACAATGCTCGTCTGCATACTGCCAGGGTCGTGTGAACATTCCTCGAAGATAATGAAATTGAGGTTTTACCATGACCTGCACCATCGCTAGATTTAAACCCAATTGAGCATGTATGGAACATATTAGGCAGACGCATTTTACAACAAAATATGGCGTTCAATATAAGATAGCAACTGTTTAAGAGCCTTTCAATGGAGTGAAACAGAATACCGCAGTAAGACATTGACCATGTCATCATAAGTATGCCTTACAGATGTAGTACAATAATCAACAACCGTTGAGGTCATACACTAGATAACTTAAGCTTATAACGGGTTTAATTAGACTAAGACTAAGACATCAGACAATTCAGTTTAAAAACTTAAAATCCTTTTAATAACATTAATAATTGCTTATTGCTAAAGGCGATTGTTTGTTTATGACATTGAAAATATCTGTGTAACTGGAATACGCGCTGACCTAGTGAAATTTACAATGTAATCAAAAGCTTATAAAATAATGGGTACAAATTATATTGGTAAAACATTATTATATAAACAAACACACGTGAGTAAAATAGCTGGAAAATAACGGGAGTAGATCATTATAATTAAGAATTAAGAGTGAACAGTCTAAGCTAGTGTTGTCATCTGTCAACTAGGTACTCTCTTTATTGTTGTACATAGAGCACCAATAAAGTAATTATGAGGATCCAGTGAGAGTCCAGTGAACTCTTGCTGGAAGCAATCCCATAAACATTTTAAGAATATACAACATTATTATAACCTAAAGACTACTTTGTTGGGAGTTGATGGGCAAAAAATTAGTTTTTTATTTTTTTTGTTACCATTTTTTGACTTATGGAGTGCTCTTGTAATTTTCTGGAAAGATATTGCGATCATTCTAAGATAAAGTTTATTTTATATTCGGAACACTTGTTTATAACTTTTTATTAAAAATATTTGAAAAAAATTATTTGAAATCCTTCTCTAAGCTCGCATTTTGTTTTTGTCCACTACATTATTTTGATGTGTGTATGTAAGTTTGTCTTCTAGATTAGTTATTATAAATTGCAATAAATATTTAAGGAAGAAAAAAAAATTAAAAAAATTGTGTAGCTAAAGATTTTTATCGTTATGTGCTACCACTAATAATATAAATAGAGAACAAGACAATAATTTTCTTACCTAATAAATGTTTCAGCCATTCATAATAAGTTATATGCTGTATTTCTGCTATTACTATTTTTCTAGCTTCCTGAAAGACTCTTTCGTCATCCCAATGTTTATTAACTCTGGATAATTCGACGGCTATCCTATTGTGTTCTCGAATCCACAATGTGTACATTACAGTAATTTGTGGATGCAGATTAAGTCGTTGGTCACCAGAAACAAAACATATATCCCCATCTGATTTTACTGGACAATGTTGTTGGGGTTTATTGGATACATATGGAAAATTATTTTTGCTTGTTTTTAACTTTCCTCCTTCTTTGGTGCGCAGTTCCCAAGAAGCTTCTTCGGAAGTACCGTAGATCTGGGAGCCGTCTAGATAATGTGTAGCTTGGTTTTGCTATAAAATTATAGAATATGTATAAGCAAGGATAATACATGTTGTCGAATAGTTTTCTTTTTGAATTATATACCAGCTAGAACATAAGAGTATAAGTAACAAAATTCTAAGTCTAAGTCATATAAAATCAGAAACAATATTTCTGACAGCTCTACATAATATATTAAGGTTTAAAAGGTAATAAAATTGATGTGGAACTGCAAACGCTTATTGACATCGTCTGTAAGGTTTATTAGAGTAGTAATAATAGTCTATTTCATCGAAAAAAGAATAAAAATGGTAATCTCATCGGTGAGTATATCGAGGCAGTCCCGTAATATAGAGACAAGTGTTAATACTATTACTAGTAGGAAAGAACTCATATTGCAAGGTCTGTTGTTTTCTCAATTTGTTGATTTCTGCGATGGTTTCTCAGTAATTAGGTCAGTCTCGTAATCCATTAGTTTTTTGGATAGTTTATAGAGACACGCTGGATACCGACGTAATAGCTATTTGTATAACAAGGAAGCAAAGTGGTACTTTTCCTCCCCAGAATAAGATTTACTGCCCGACGTCTAGCGAAGGGCAGTAATCATTCAAGGGAGGAAAGGCACTTTACTCCAATGTTATACATATGATTTTTCCACCTCCCTCAAATAACAAGTTGTTTTTTTATTTTTAAATAATTTATTTATATAACTAACAAAATTTATTAAAGACTATGTTTACTTTGTGGTTGGGCAATTATTTATATTAATGTTAAATGTGCAATTTTGAACAGTGGTTATTTGAAAAGCACCAGAAGTGAGAGCTGGCGCCAACGTAGTTTTCGTGATATTTTCACTAACACTTTTATCAAAGAATATAGACGCTTATAGAAGAATCTTTCACTGTTATGTTTGAAAGTTTGCAAAAGATGATCACACGTTATGAAAAAGAATGAGAGGGTGGATCGAGAAGGGAGCGGTCATGTCAACGCTATTATTGCTTTTAAAATATGAAAGAGTGGGGCAACAAATGCAACAGATATTTTTATGTATAATGCCAGAGAACTACGAACACATAATGCCGCGTGGCCGTAGAATAGGATTAAATTTTTGCGTTTTATAATATTTTTTAAAGAAAATAATAATATTTTAACTTTTAATAAATGAATCCTATTAGAAAAAATATTATAATTCGAATTTTTAATTTAAACAGGTACAAATCTACAAATAATATTATAGTTAATAAGAAGAACTCTCTTCTTATTCACTATAAAATTAATTCAACCAATAAAGTCATCAATCACCGGAATTAAATATTTCCAAATTTTCTAAATTTAATAATTTCTTCTTTGTTTTTAATATAAAATAACAAAATGTAAAACACAACACTGTGTTTTCTGCAGAATAATGGAAACATGTCTAAAAAGCTTAATGAAAAGTCCTGAGAAAATCAAATTTTTGGTTGAATTAACCCAAAAATTAACGAAATATTTTAAAAAAATATTTCGTTAATTTTTGGGCAGAAAAACAGTATAATAAAAATGTTTGTGACGGTTTTTCGTTGTGTTAGAACAAACCTATTTTTAATTCAAAGTTATAAAATGTAAAAAATAAATGCTTTGAATATTGTAAATATCATACCTCTTTAAATTTCAAAGTTCAAAATTTAACAATTTAATATATTGAAAATAAAGATTATATTGTGAAAAAAAAAACAAAAAAAAAGCATGGGATTTTTTTAATCGTAGATGCAAAGTTAAATAAATAGCTCCGTTCGTACTCCTTTCCCACTTTCCCCTAACTACATCTTTTATGAGATAGTTTAAGCCGACTGCCAGATGTGTTTTAAAGTGTAAACCCTAACCAAATCGTCCATTTGAACTGTTCTTCTATAAGCGTCTATTATTCTTTGCTTTTATTATGCACTTAGTATCTCCCGAAAGTACTCGTATTTGGCTGATTACAATCTACTTCTTTAACTTAAGTGACTCTCATAATTTGGTCCGAAATTCTTCGCTTTTTTGAAAGAGATTGCATACATACTACATACGCTTCAGCGATATTCGTAGACTTTCAACCTCCGTGTTGCGTTAAAGCAAAAATATCTGCTATAGAATTTGCAAGTAAACTTGCCGAGATTCTTCTTAAGCTATGCCCTGTATAATTTATGGCATTAGGCAGTTTTAAAAGTTATGCAATTTTTGTAGGAAATTAAGCGATAGATTTGTTTGCAACCAGTTGTTTGATACATGCAGACAAATAAACGTGACTGGTCCATTTTAGGACGTAACGATATATACATATTTCCTAGAATTATAATTATGGCCATTTCCTGGGAAGCATTAATTACAATCTTTATCTGCATATTTTTCTTAATCATTCTGATCCATCGTCAATGTGGGACTCTTTTCTTTATACTGCTGCTACAACAATTTCTGATCATACAACCGAACGGTAGCTATACAAAAATCGAATAAAACCTTGGATTAACCTCTCAGCTACCCATTTAATTCGACATAAGTGAAACCTTTGGCAAATATATAAACTTACCGGTTCCCTTGATGATTTTCTTGTCCAGCGTAATTTTTCTAACCGATTCAAACAATCTTTGCTAAAGTTAAAAACAGAATTTGAAAAATCTATCATTGCAAGTGGTAATAGTAAAACATTTTATCGGTACATTCGCACATCTTTATCTTCTAAAGTTTCCATGCCTTTACTTCAAAAAGCTGACGGGTCTTTATGTTCTTCAAATAACAAATCTTCTGAATGTTTATCGTTATTCTTTTCTCAGGTTTTTACAGAGGAACCTAACGATACCATTCCTTAATTAATGTGCCCACGTTTGTCTAAACTACGAAATAATTCATCACCTGGAGTAGACGGACTCGCCTCCTTTTCCTCAAACAATATGTAGAATCTGTAGCCATCCCTATATCTCTCATAATGAATGCTTCTTTTAATCAGGGTTCTCTCACCTCGTCCTGGAAATTTACTTCGGTTACTCCTATATTCAAGAAAGTAAATAAACTTGAATGCAATAATTATCGTTCAATCAGCCTAGTTCCTATTGTCGGCAAGGTCATGGAATCAGTTATTTCGGAAGCTATGTCTGAGTTTCTTCTTCAAGAAAATGCCAGCCCTCACTATCAGCATGGCTTTATCAAATGTTGTTCAATGATCACAAACTTACTTCATTGTGTAAATGATTGGCTATTATCTTTAAACAATCAGAATTCTGTCGATGTAGTCTACTTAAACTTTTTCAAAGCTTTCGACCATGTTCCAAAACGTCGATTACTAGCTAAATTGGATCACTATGGTATCCGCGGAAAGTTAAACATTGGGATTCAAGATTTTCTATCCGACAGATACTTCAAGGTTCGTATTGGGGAAGACCACTCACTAGATAAGCCAGTCAAGAGTGGAGTTCCACAAGGATCAGTACTTGGACCGCTACTTTTTTGTGTTTACACTAGTAATCTTCCGCTCATTATATCCAGTAAGGTTTCCATTTACGCTGATGACATACAATTATAAGTGAATCCAACTATTAACCAACATGTTCTTCAACAAGATCTTGATGCAATATTCAAATGATCCTCAGAATGGTTACTTCCGCTTAACATTGAAAAATGCGTTGTTTTATATATTGGTAAAAATAACCCATCACTGCCATACTTTATTAATGGACATCCCTTAAACTCGGTAACCTCCCACAACGATCTCGGAGTAATAATTAAAAGTGACTTACATTAAATTGGTTTGATCACATAGTGTTGATGTGTAAACGTGTAAACTCGAAACTATTTTTGACCCGTAAATGTTTTACACATGGACGTATCGTCTATGGTTTTACACGTATATATTTAATCTCTGTTAGTAAACTTTACTCAATATACGTTAGACCTGTTCTTCACACTGCCGAGCCAGTGTAGAATCCAGATCTCAGTCGCGATAAAATCCTACTTGATAATGTTCAGCGTAAAGCCACAAGACTGGTATACGGCCGTGTAAGACCTAAGTATGAAGATAAACTATCCATGGCTCATTTGAATAAAGACGAAAGACTAAGAAGTCATCGATACAAATTAAAAAGGGAACAAACTACTGTAAGGTCCAGGATGAACTTCTTGCCAAATCGAATCTTTAATATCTGGAACAATTTGGATCAAGACAACATATCGGTAACTATTTTAATATCTTGTTATTTTCGGACGGCATTATTTATTTATCTATTATATCACAATTCAGTTTTTCTAATGATATGCCCTTATGTGTTATATGCACAATGGGGGATTCTCTCTGGGTATTCGTAGCGCAGATACCCAGAGGGTAGCAGGGATACCTGCCGTGGAACAAAAACTGACACCTGGCAGTAGGTATAAAATCCACACCCATGATAATGGAGTATAATAATTTATGTTTAGGGTCGCTGTCTGGGGATCGCCAGGGCACGTCTGGAGCCGGCGCTGGACGTGACACAGCATGCGGGATGTCGGTGGCAGGCTTTTGAGGAGGCGGGCCCCTGTCATACAATCAGCTATAGCCCTATAAGAACAACAACCACAAGCAAGCTCCACTCGCTGAAGGTGTTATAATACAATATTATACAAACCATCAAAAACATCTACATCCATAATCGAATACAGGTAAAGATAAATGGAAAACTAACACAATGTGTACCAGTAGAAAGCGGAGTCAGATAGAGTGACACGTTAAGCTCACTTCTCTTTAATATAATAATGGACGAAATACTACAAGCAGTACGTAAAGGTCATGGCTACATAATAAGGAACAAAGAAATAGAAATATTATGTTATGCAGACGACGCCGCATTAATCGCCGAGACAGAAGACGAGCTCCAAAGATTAACACGTATCTTCAATACAACAGCTAAGAAATACAATATGATAATATCAGCAGAAAAAACCAAATGTAGGACAACGTCTAAATACCCACTAAGTACGATGTAAAATCGAAATTGATGGGAAAATAATAAAGCAGGAAGCAACAAGCAGGAAGAAGTACGAC